CCAGCTACTCGGGAGGCTGAGGCAAGAGGATCCCTTGAGCCCAGGAGTCTGAGGTTGCTGTGAGCTAGGCTGACGCCATGGCACTACTCTAGCCTGGGCAACAGAGTGAGACTCTGTCTCAAAAAAAAAAAAAGAAAAAGAAAAGAAAATGAAGTTCAAAACGATGGTAGAACTCGCCTGAGGTCATACCTCTTTCGATCAAGGGAACCAAGCATCAGTGATCGACACTGGCCCACACTCCTAGCCCACTCTGCTCAAAATGCCAGTGATAGAGAGTGACCAACTGGGGAGGAGAAAGGGAGCAGCCCTGTGAAGAGGTGACAGCCGAGCTGAGGCCTGACGTGTCAGAATGTGCCAGGCATCTTGTGAAGAGCAAGGACAGAGCCTGGCTGGGAGAGATTTCTGGGTCTGAGAAGAGGAAGGAGGTCAGTGTGCCCGGAGCGAAGTGAGCCAAGGAGAGCAGGGAGCAAGGGCACAGAGGGGGAGAGGAAGGCAGGCTCGGATATGGCAGGCCCGGGGGCTGTGGCAAGGCCTGAGACTTCATTCCAAGAGGAGTGGGAAGCCACTGGGAAATTCTAAACAGTGGAGCGACATGATTTGGTGGAGGATTTTAAAGAATCTGAAAGCCTCGTGGAAGGGATTGTAGACCAACAGGGGTCCTTAAACTACGGCCCGCGGGCCACATGCAGGCTGCCAAGGACATTTATCCGGCCCGCCAGGTGTTTTTCCACCGCTGCCTGTCCTGCTCAGCAGCCGACTCGTCCCGGGCCCACAGTGCGCATGCGTGGAATGTGCGCCGCATTCTCCAACGGCCCTCCAACGGTCTGAGGGACAGTGACCTGGCCCCCTGTTTACAAAGTTTGAGGACCCCTGAGAGGAGGCTGCTTCCGTCGTCCAGTGGAAGGATGCTGGTGGCAGGCCCTGCGGCAGTGGCCAGGGCGATGGAGAGAAGTGGCAGGGGTTTTAGAACGGAACTGACTAGACATGTTGGTGGCCTGGATGTGATGAGGGACAGAGGCGTTGGAGATGACGCTTGGGTTTTTATTTGAGCTCTCGGGGGATGAATAGTGTTATTTACCCGAAAGGGGCAAGGTTGTTGGGGCAAGAAGCAGGGAAGGGTCAAGAGTGAAGTTACCGTGGACATACATGTTCTGTTTGAAGTGTATGTAAGAAATCCAGATGGCAGTGTCTAGTAGGCAGTCGGGTGTGTGAAACTAGACAGAGCTTGGGAGCAGTCTGGGCTGGAGATAGCAACGTGGGAGTCGTTGGCATGTGGAAGCCTGGGGTGCGTGGGAGAAGAGAGACACTCAGAGTGCTGGAAAGGTTAAATGCTTCGCCACGCCATCCACGTTTTCTTGTTGAGCACAGTCCTCAAAATGGAGATAGCAGCACCAGGTAACCAAATATATTCACCACCATTTGGGGTCCACGTTCCCGGGTAGGGCCTGTATTCTGCATGGGACTGTGGAGTTTCCACACACGTGTGCTCATGTGTTGATGTGCTTAATACCCAATCCCTTCTAGTAGACTATTAAATTAATTAGACCCCAGACCACTAATTAGAACATAGGGGGTGACCCAGATCCTGAGAAAGATTTAGGGCTTACCCAAACAGTAAAATCTGTTCCTTGAAATTTGTTCAGAATGCATGAATTCAGGTACAATTTTAAAACTTTTCATTATTTCCAAGTACAGAATTAATGGCTTAAGTACATATCTCAAGTGTATTTTGTAACTTTCTAATTCAACTTTGTAACCTTTTTAACTCAACATTGAACTTGTTTTAACCCCACATTTTATTTTCTGTTGTAAATGAAGCTTTTCCCTGTATTGGGGTATAAGATGTGTATGTCAATTTGCAGACGAGCTGATCGTGAATTTGTGCTTTAAAAATATTCAGAAACATACATCTGTTTCTTAAACAAATTATTTCATTTCTTTAAGTTGCCACAACATTCCACACTCTGTTCCTGTTGCTAAGGCCTCTGGAATGTCCCAGTGCAGAAAAAGGATATAGAAGTCCTTTTTTTTTTTTTTCCTGAAGAAGATATTTAAATTATTTTGTATCCTCTAGCTTACTTCCAAATACGGGTATCTGAAAGTAAAGAATTTAGAAAGCTAAAATTAAAGTTACTTTAGAATTTCTTAATGGGAATGTGATTTCGTAGGGCAGCATGAACTGGATTTAAGTATACTATTTCTTTCTGCAGGATGTGTGTGTGTGTGTGTGTGTGTGTGTGTGTGTGTGTGTGTGTACGTGTGGGATGTGTATACATGTGCAAGCTTTTTAGGGAGACACAATGTGCTAATGAGAGGTCACAAACTGAGGTTACAGGACACACAAACGTGAGTTTTCATTGTGCTACTTTCTTGCTAGGTGATATTAGCCAAGTTTACTTCTCAATAAGTAAAATGAGGATTATATTTTAGGATTATTGTTAGCAATAAATAGGATAAAGCATGTATAAAGTGCTCAGCATGGGGCCTGGCACATACTAGTCTGTCAGTAAATGTGTCTGCTGTTTATCAGTATGATTATCATCATTACAGTCGTCATCAGTTGTAGTTCATCTTAAGTTATTGAGGAAATTAAAATTTTTACAAAGGTATTGACTCCTGGTCCCTTATAGAATCACCCCTGTCCTTATTAGTTTTACTAGTCGTAAGTTTCACAAAAGGATCAAAGGAACCAGGGCAAGAAAGAATAATTTTCTGCATAAACATCATGTGGCATATTGAATTCTTATTACTTGAAAGGATGAGTATAGTTTTTTTGTTTTTGAAATTATTTTTAGAGGGGTAGAGGGCTAGTCCCCGGAAGTATCTGGCCAAGCGATACATTTTAAACAACGTTGCTTGACATTGAGTACTGTGAGAAACCACAGAAATCACATCACAGAGCCCTCAAACTAAAGTAAGACCATTTATTTAATGCTATTTTAACTGCTGTTTAATTAAGAAAATTGAATTGATTTCATTAACGAAACGGTTGGTTGGGTACCTGTTTCACACTTTTCAGTTACAAATTATGAATGTTACAGCATTTCTGCAATTTGGATTTTCCTTATTAATAGTCTTGTATCAGGCATTTAGCATAGGGATATATGAAATTTATAGTAAAATACTTTAAATTTTTATTTTTTAGAGTGAAATGTCATGTCAAGAAACTATAATCATGAAAAAAGGCTTATTACATATATATCATTGTGTGAATATAACCTTTCCCCTTCTCCTACATGTACTATATTTAACTCAATGTGGGCATGCTTTCAAGGAAAATAACATATTGTTTGGCTCTTCATTTTCATTAAATGAGCATAGTCACAGAAGTCAGCAGTCTACTGGAATCTTCTTGTGTTCTCTAATCAGTTTACACAGTCAAAGATGTTCAGCCCTGACATTCTAGTTTGTTGACGTTGGAATCTGGAAGGAGTGTTTAGAAGTCGTTATTCCTCTGGTCTTCGGGGATGCCAAATCCAAGCCACATCATGAGTCAGAATCAGATCCTAGCTATTTACCTTAGACAAAGTACTGTACTCTCAGTGAGTCAGTTTCCTCCTCTTTATAGTGGGGATGTGATGCTGTCTCCCCTAGGTGATTGTGAGGATGAAATGAAGTAATAGCACATAGAAAGTACTTTGCTCAGCCGCATTCCAGAATCATGTTGGGCCTTAGTACATTTCAGAATTATAGCTATCTGTGTAATTCAGTGTACTCGAAACTGTTTAAGAAAATCTGAGCTGTAGCCATGTGTAGGCATTAGATTAGTAATTTGATATTTTAGAGATTATCATCACTTGACATCTCCTTAGGGCATTTTCTTCTCCCTTTATAAACCACCAAGATCACTAAGTTGGAGAAAGTGTGAAATTAAATCTTTATAGGAAAGAAAGCAAATGCTAGTCACCTTTTGATTCCCCTCCCCCACAAATGCAGTATTTGGTCTGCTCAAACATTTGCTTAACTGAAGTGTGCTAATAATCTACTCATTGCAGATGTTCTAAATAGTGCGTGTAGCATAAAATACTTGTTTAAAATCACCAATTTTGGAATATTTTAAAAGTCTAGATTCTGAATCTGATCTTTTTGCTCTGTTCCCTAGATTATTGTTCATAATTAATTGTTCCTGGTTGGGACCTTTTAATTAATCGTATTTACCAAGTATTAAGTTACTTTCAGTTTCCACATGTATGCAGAGAGTTTAGTTTCATTTTTTTCTTTTTTTCTTTAATCGCTAGCGTGGAAGATGGATAGTTTCATTTTTAATTAAGTTGACTTCTTACTGTTGGGGGAAGAAACACCAACTTGTATCCTACCCTATTCTAGTAACCAAACTAAGATTAATGCGTGAAATGCCATATTTGTACTGAAGTGACCTGTTAAAAAAAAAAAAAAGTATAAGAATAATTTTCTTGTATTACATGCTGGCAAAACCAGCAATTTTACTCTTCAGTAAAACCTGTGCTCCCTTACTTAATTGTTCTGTAGAACTGAGGGACCACATGGCTGGCATAGAATGCATAGTTAAACAGATAAAGCCATTAGATGGTACAGGTTTGTGAATTGCTGAGCATTTTATAGAGTTGCAGATTCTTCCTCACAACTCTTGGTAGAGTTCATCTGATGTTGCTTTATTGTGCAAAGGTATTCATTGTTTGCATTTTAATAGATTTGTTTATTTCATCTCATAATAATATCTATTATGAGATGAATAATTATGAATTATGAATGTTCATAATTATGAATGGTATGTATTTCATCTCACCATAATGATTTTTGGTGTACTTTATTGTAATTCTTTGTAAAGTGCCTCTATAAGCCTGATTTGATTCTTCTCTTAACATTCATGGTGTGCCACATCAGTTACTGTTAACCTGGAGTGACATTTGTACTGGTGCACTTCATAGTAAGGCAACTCCTATAGAAAGTGTTGTTCCCCCAAATGGTTTTATATCAATCAGAACCAGATGAGTGAGTGATATTCTGTTTCTTTGTTGCAGACATGCCAATATTTGGTTTTTGTCCAGCCCATGATGATTTCTACTTGGTGGTATGTAACGACTGTAATCAGGTTGTCAAACCGCAGGCATTTCAATCACATTATGGTAAGTGCTTAACCATTTAAAAAATCATTATTAGAAAGTAAAGCAGGATTAAACTGAAGGACAGTGATGGCAGGGTAGGGCATAATATCCCTCCCCTATCAGGAAGTAGGCTTTCTAATTCATTGAATGGGTTAATACCTGTCAGATGTTGGATATTTTTTTTTGTTTGTATTGAAAGTGGTATTCATTTTCTGTTTTTTATTGAAATTAGATGGAGAAAGTATAATTTATAAAATATTTCTTGAACTATTTCATCAATATAGTTAGAGGCTTGTTTCCTGTTAGAGTCTCTGGTTGTGAATTTACTGGATTTTAAAATTTACGTATACAAGGCTAGGCATGGTGGCTCATGCCTGTCTGTAAACCCAGCACTTTGGGAGGCCAAGACAGGAGGATCTCTTGAGGTTAGGAGTTGGAGACCAGCCTGGGCAACATAGTGAGACCCTATCTCTACAAAATATAAGAAAAATTAGCCAGTCATGGTGGCACACACCTGTAGTCTTAGCTACTGGGGAGGCTAAGGCAGGAGGATCAGTTGAGCCCAGGAGTTTAAGGTTGCTGTGAGCTATGATTACATCACCACTCTCCAACCTGGGTGATGGAGCAAGACCCTGTCTCCAAATAAATAAATTTAATTTTAAGAAGCTAAAAAATAAAATTATATGTATACTCACAACCTGGACATTTTTTTTTTAAAGGAAATGTGATTTTGAAACTTCTAAGTTCAGTAGATCTAAATTTGGGGTGTTAATCATTGAAGAGTCCAAATAAAGTTATTTGGCATTGTCATAATACCACTTACAGTGTTTAAGATAAGATTCTGATTCATAAAACTTAGTTTTATGCCCAGTTTGCTTCAAGAGCAAATCAGAAGTATTTGAGTGCCCAGCTTGTTTCAGGCACTAAGATTTCTACTTCCACAGAGTTTGCGTTCTAATTGGAGAGACAGGCAAACTAACTGGATACATTTTTTCAATGACTGTAAATTGTTTCCTCATTGCTGTTACTACTACAAATGCAAGCTTGAAACAGAGTAACACTGGGGTTCTTCTGTACTTAGAGTGTTCAAGGAAAGCATCTTGGGAGGTGACACTGGGCCTTAAGCGATGAGAAGAAACAGCTCAGGCGGTGATCTGGAATAAGAACTGTCGATACAGAGGGGACAGCCAACACACAGACCTGAAGAGGGCCGGCGTGGCTGGAGGGTAGTTAGTGAAGGGAGTTAGACACTAGAGGAATCTGGCGTTATAGGAGAGACCTGATCATTCACCGGCCAGGGCAAGAAGCCGCTTGGAGGCGTTGGAGGGTTTGTGTAAGGGAGTAGCGTAGTTCCATCTTGCTGGTTGATTTGCTGAGAATAGACTGCTGAGAGGAGTAGAAGCAGAGAGTAGTTCAGAAACAAGAGGTGACAGAGGATGGAGGGTGAGGCGGGGCAGTAGAGCTAGGCAGTCGGTCTGCACAGCTTTAACATAACATTTTAAAGTTAGAACTTACAGGGCTTGCCGTTGGGAGTACTGTTGTTTTAAGAGTTACACCATTAGAATCATCCCACCATTTTTTTTCCCCAAGGGCTAAATCTTATTTAACCTTGAAAAGATTCTTTGAGTTCCTGCTTCTGGGTGAGACCCTGGGGGTAGGCACCAGCATGAGTACAAAGATGGATAAGATATTATCTACCTGCTTAAGACTTTCAGAGGCTAGCATTCGAAAAGGCAATTAAGTCAGTTGCCAAGTATTTTGGAGTTAAAATTTTGAAGCCAGACGAGACTGGAATTCAAATTTAAGTCTGCAAGAGCCATAGGTTCGTTCTTTGCCTTGAGCAAGTTGTCCAACCTTGGCTTCGTTCCTTATAGTACAGAGATGGTAACACCAACCTCATAGGTTCCTGGTGGGGATTAAATTAAGTAGCATGGGCAGAGCCCCTAATACAATCCCTAGCACATAGTAGACATGAGAGAGAGAGAGAGATACCGCTGTAGTTACAGGAAGGTGTGTGTCTAAAGTCATAAAACAGTCCAAGGTCTTAAGATAGAAAGAGCACAGATTGCTTCTTGACGAGTAACCCAGAGAAGCCCTCTTAGAGAAAATACCCTTCATGTTAGGCTTTAAAGAGTAGAATGGATTATTTTTCCCATTGTAATTTTTTTTTTTCAGTTTTTAGACATGTAATACATGTTCGTTGTGGAAAATATTTTGAAAAACCACCCAGGATCCATTAAAATTAGAAGTGTCTGATGGGGACAGCCACATATGGCTGCACAGTTTGTACACAGAACAGCCACGTTTGGTGGCCCCGGGCTGGCGACAGGGTTGAACAGGAAATTCCAGGCTGTCTGGAACGTGCTGCCTGCGTCCCCACTGGCCAGAGCTGAGGTCCCCATGTGGGGACGAGGAGCGTGCAAAGGCAGGATGGGCCTAGCTCACAGGGCTTCACTGCCCACCAGCCATCTCCCCTCGATGTGGGGGAGGGGGGGACCTGTTGCAGATATTTTAGAACCAGAGTTGTGGGACTCAGTGGTGCCCCAGAGAGTTGATGGAGTAAAGCTGCATTTTTAAAAAAAAAAAATTACAATGGGAAATAAATCCATTCTACTCTTTAAAGCCTAACATGAAGGGTATTTTCTCTAAGAGGGCTTCTCTGGTTACTCGTCAAGAAGCAATCTGTGCTCTTTCTATCTTAAGACCTTGGACTGTTTATGACTTTAGACACACACCTTCCTGTAACACAGCGGTATCTCTCTCTCTCTCTCATGTCTACTATGTGCTAGGGATTGTATTAGGGGCTCTGCCCATGCTACTTAATTTAACCCCCACCAGGAACCTATGAGGTTGGTGTTACCATCTCTGTACTATGACAAACGAAGCCAAGGCTGGACAACTTGCTCAAGGCAAAGAACTAAGCTATGGCTCTTGCAGGATTAAATCTGAATTCCAGTCTCGTCTGGCTTCAAAATTTTAACTCCAAAATACTTGGCAACTGACTTAATTGCCTTTTCGAATGCTAGCCTCTGAAAGTCTTAAGCAGGTAGATAATATCTTATCCATCTTTGTACTCATGCTGGTGCCTACCCCAGGTTCTCACCCAGAAGCAGGAACTCAAAGAATCTTTTCAAGGTTAAATAAGATTTAGCCCTTGGGGAAAAAAAATGGTGGGATGATTCTAATGGTGCAACTCTTAAAACAACAGTACTCCCAACGGCAAGCCCTGTAGGTTCTAACTTTAAAATGTTATGTTAAAGCTGTGCAGACCGACTGCCTAGCTCTACTGCCCCGCCTCACCTCCATCCTCTGTCACCTCTTTCTGAACTACTCTCTGCTTCTACTCCTCTCAGCAGTCTATTCTCAGCAAATCAACCAGCAAGATGGAACTACGCTACTCCCTTACACAAACCCTCCAACGCCTCCAAGCGGCTTCTTGCCCTGGCCGGTGAATGATCAGGTCTCTCTATAACGCCAGATCCTCTAGTGTCTACCTCCTTCACTAACTACCCTCCAGCCAGGCCGGCCCTCTTCAGGTCTGTGTGTTGGCTGTCCCCTCTGTATCGACAGTTCTTATTCCAGATCACCGCCTGAGCTGTTTCTTCTCATCGCTTAAGGCCAGTGTCACCTCCCAAGATGCTTTCCTTGAACA